CTTGAATTATTAGCCAATGAAGACAAACTTTTCACCCTTGTCATCTAGTTTGGTCTATTTCTCATCCGGTACAAGTGCATAGCATACACTTCCAAAAACCCGCAAATAAGAGACACTTGGCTTGAGTCCTCCCCATGCTTGTTGTGGTATTTTGTCTTGAACATTTCTAGTAGGACATTGAATTAACAAGTACATGACACAATTAATAGTTTCTGCCCAAAACTTGTTGGGCATTTTCTTACTCTTCACCATACTCCGAGCCATGTCAAGAATGATTCGGTCCTTCATTTCAACAACATCATTTTATTGTGGTGATCTTGGAACCGTTCGAGGATGGTAAATTCTATTTTCTTCGCAAAAGTTTTTGAATTCATATGATGTGAATTCACCTCCTCTACCGGATCTAATTGTCTTAACTTCATACCCACTTTGTTTTTCAATCAAAGACTTAAACTTTTTGAACACACCAAACACTTCTGATTTTTGTTTTAAAAAATAAACACACATGTTTTTACTAAAATTATCAATAAAGAGAAAAAAATACCAGTTCTTAGCAAACCATAGTCGGTCTATGAGCCCACAAACATCTGAGTGAATAAGTTAAAGTGGCTCGGTAGCCGTTGAAATGAAAAGCTTTTCCTAGTTTGCTTTGCAAAAAAACATCCCTCACAAAGTTGATCCGGCTGGTTGATAAAAGGCAATCCTTTAACAATCTTGTTTCAAGACAATCCTCTAAAATTCAAATACCCAAATCTCAAGTGTCATAGTGAAGAAAAATCTTTAACACGTGATTTTAAGCATTTTGCCACATCACTTTGAATATTTAACAAAAAGTTTTCCCAAGTTCAAAATATTATTTTTCATGTTTGGTACATTAAAAATATTAAAAATAACTTAGAGTTTTCTATCCTTCAAATGAATCATAATATTAACTCTTCTCATTACCGAAATTTCAGAAGAATCTCTAAAAGTGATTTTTTCACTCATCGATTCATCAAGCTTCACAAATTTCTCTTTATTTTCACACATGATAAGTAGCACCGAAGTCAATGAACCACATGTTCTTGTCTCCTTTTTGTCCTTCTTGTCTGCCAACAACAAAGTCAATTCTATCTCTTCACTTTTGTCTTCAACAAAATGTGTTCTTTCTTCAACAAAATCATTTCTACACTCGGAAGCAAAAATGTCATATCGGTGATAATTATAATATTAAATATGAGATTTGTCATACCTCCCTCCATATGATTTTGAATTGTTGCCTCTTCCATGGTGTGATTCTTGGCTTTTTTTCGTCTTTGTTGGATGAATTTTGTGAAAAGATTTCTCCTTTACCTCGATCACGTCCACCATGACCTCCACGTCCACACCCTCTACCCCTTTGACTTCCATCTTATCTTCTTTCTTTTTGTTTTTGAAAGAAAGATTGGTTTGTTGAACTTGCTCCAATGACTCTTGCTTCTCTTACTTAGCCATTCTTTATGGGCTAACAACAATCTCATGAGTTCGTCAATCGTCATTGTATCTAAATTATTAGACTCTTCAATGGCTATAGCAATATAGTCAAACTTGGGGTCCAATGAATGTAGGATTTTTTCTATCACTCGGGTATCATCATAGTGATCATCACTATACGTTCTCAAATTATTCATAACAACCAAGACTCTTGTGCAATAATCTAAAACTAATTCAGATACTTTCATATGTAAAGCCTCAAACTCACCTCATAGAGTTTGAAGGTGAACTTCTAACTTTTTGCACTCTACTAGGAGCGGTTTGAAGAACACCTTATGTTTGTTTGGATGTAGTTGCACTAATAACATGTAACATGACATCATCCAAGCATTGATGGATGAGTGAAATAGCTTTTTGATCCTTGTTCGTTGTATCTTGCAAGGCTTCCTTCTAGGCTTGACTTAAGGAAGCTTCATCTTGTGGTGTCGTGTCACCAATTGTTACAATCTCCTATAAGTCTTGAGATCCAAGAATCGCATTCATACGGATACACAATTCTCAAACTTATCTTTGGTAAACTAGGGCTTTTGAAATGGAAGCATTCCATTTGATATCTCTCTCTCTATTTTTTTTGACACTCAAGCCTAGTTCTGATACTATTTTGTTGTAATCTAGAGGACTATCACACACTCACAAAAACAATAATAGAAGAATTTTTTCAATTCACTCATACCCAAATGGATGTATTACATAGGATATATATAGACTTATACAATATAACCCCACTGTATTACAATCTCTCACTTATACTAAACTAGTATCTTGTTTAATACGATATTACTCTAAATTGAATTATTAAAACTAATAACACAAAAGAAGAACTCTAATTTTCCCCTTCAAGGCTAGTGATCGCCTAGTGATATTCTTACTAAACCATTGACTCAGTTTGCACTCAATAACTAGTGCTATAAACTAGTCAGTGTGTTTAGTGTTGGGAGGACAGTGTCATATACTCAAAATCTAGGAATCACAGACACTTCACTTTGGCCAGATTGTCGGTGTCGGATAGGTCTGGGACACGGATATGTTCAGACACGTGTCGGACATGCTAAAATGAGTGTCCGATTTTTTTATCATTAATTTTTTTTTTCAAGACACGATGGGAACACACAACCGACACACTCAGGACATGTTGGGGACACGCAGCCAACGCGATGGGAACATGTTTTGAGCTTTCTCTTGAATTTTTTTAAAAAAAATTAGATAACTTTATTATTAAGAATTATTTTTGTAATTTTAAAGAGATATGAGTCAAAGTCATAATATAAAAGAAATTATAATCATTACATTGAACATATGAAATGAATGTAATACGGATACAAACATATATACATATGGAATAAATTTTTAATATAAAAGTAATGTGAGAAAAAATTGGGTAACAAAATTGGGGCTCTTTGAAATTGATGAAAATTAGTGTTACAAAGTGGAATATTTTTTAAAATGAAAGTTGTAGCAGTCATTAATTGTTGGATAGTTTTGTACTCTTTGATATGGACACACTAATGGTGTATATAATGACTCTATTAATGACAAAATTTGTTTTAGTTATTTATACATAATGAATCTGGGTTATCTATGAGCTCGCTCGAACGGTACTCATGGTCGCTCAAGCGGGTGCTTACCTTAGTTGTGTTTAAAACGTTATTTTCATTCCAACGTCAACCGTCCTATAATCACCCTCCCACCGATCGAGCGGTAATTCCCGAATTTAAATTTTCTTATTTATTAAGACTATTCTTATTCCGAAACTATAAATAAGGAGTGTCTTTTCAACATCTAGGTTATGCCTCTAAAGATATTTCTAAGAGAGAAAAACATAATTCTACCTTAAAAACTTCAACCACAACCTAGATCCCTAAGATCCAAAGGCTTCCACTAGAGTTTCTACCTAACCTCACAAATTAGAGTTTATAATCTTAAGGGTTTGATAAACCCATTAGTGTGTACAAACCGAGGATTGTTGGTATACCCATAATCGTTCAAGGCCAAGACAAACCGTGCAGTGAAAAAGTCCAAGTAAAGCTACACTAGGCATTGGAGGAGCACCTTTGATGGAGAGACAATAATAAAAGAAGTATCTAACCATAGTATTGGTTGAAGTATAAGTCTCGTGAACTTGTATGTTGACTTTAGCGAGCAATGGATTAGGCTTTTGTGAACCTCAATAGGTTCCTAGCGATTTTTTCTCAAGAAGGCTTTCTGCGTTAATAAATCACTTGTATTCTTTATTGATTATTGTATACACTTGTCGTTGTTTGCACACATGGACATAGTTGTACAATTTGGGTTTGAGGATTGAGATCGATGTGAGATTGATTATGAGCAAATTAATTGAATATTAATTTAATCAATCGTCATGGTCATTAGTGGTTATGGGGACTAAAGGGGTTCCCAAATTAATTTCTTAATCTTTGTGGGACAAGGTAATTGTAGTGGAGTTTTAATTGGTAATCAATTGAGTGTTAAATTAAAAAACCTATTCATCTCCCCTCTAGGTATAATGTCTTGAGCTCCATGTATATAATCGTGTGAGAAGATTTACATCGGGTTCTCCCCTCCAAAACAACAAGATGCAACTAAGAAAAGAACCAAAAATGCCCATTGATAAACAACCATGAAAAAATACCAAAATCAAAACTTGTGGAAAATTAAAATCCGAACTAGTGCAAATTTTGAATTCCAACAGGCAAAAAATCAAAATCGAAAAGAAATTAAGAACCCATTTAACAAACAAATTTTATCCAAAAAAAAATAATATTGAGTTTGAACCACACCAGTACCCAAGTCTGGTCCGACCAAGGGAAGGTGGGGTGGGGGTACACACGCGTGTATGGTCGAATCTACGTCCATCTAGATCCTCTATCATCCACAAAAGTGGGGTACCCCTTGGGCCCCAACCCTTAGAGCAAACTTGAAATATATATACTCAATTAAGATTTCTTACCTAACCAATGTGGAATTGACTTTAAATCTCAAATGCCCCGACCTCTATTTTCACATTCCAAATGGCTCGCTTTGGAACATATTTTCTCATTTATTATTCTCCTCACAAAGTAGAACACGAAGTTACAAAAATTTACTTAAAATGATGAGTGAATCTCACTTTAATATAGGCACAAAGTCGACAAAAAAAATCAAATTTTGCTCTACAAAAACTATTTTTGCCCAACTGATGACAAAAACATGAACTCTAACATTATTATATGATCATATATAATAGAATGAATATATATTATTTAGCAAGTCCCCCAATTTGTCCATATGCACATCTTACTTTTTTTATAAATTTTATGTCGGCATATCTATGTCATGTCATATATGTATTCCGTTTGTGTATTTGTGCTTCTTAGTGAAGATTGTCTCTAATCATATGTTCCTTATGATTGACTTGTCTTATTGTGGTATAAAAAAATTCATATTCAACATCTAGAATGTCTAATAAAGGAGCATATTCCATTCATTACATGTCACATTTGATAATAGAGTTACAAAATATTGGGAGAAATAAAAATACTTTTTCTATGTACCTCAAGGTAGTAATCCTCGGCATAAAGCAGAGCATGAAAGTAATCCTTGTAGGTCAACGGAGACAAGGGCTTCTTGAGCACTCCAGGGACAACGTCTTCCTTAATCAATTCTTTGATACCCTCGGGAATCACATGTGTAGGTGATGAACCCTCCTGAACCCAAATGTACTTGGTGTGTGTCTGGTCATTTTTCGGATTAGATGAAGCAAGAGAAAGAGTAGGCTTATTCGAAAGTGCAGTAGGTGGTTTCGGGAAAGATGAAGTCTGAAAAGAAGATGTAGATAAGGACGATGATGAAGATAAGGACGATGGTGAAGTCAGTTTAGAGGAAGACGGAGGCGGCACAGGCAAAGATGGTGATGGTTTGGAGAAAGTTGTGCTTGTCTTTGTTGAAGATTGAGTTTGCTTAGATAAAGATGGAGGTTTAGAGGAAGATGGAGATGGTTGAGAGGAAATTGGAGAAAAATTCTGGGACCATTTTTGGTCAGCTGTTTTGTTTGTTTCGAAATTAACTGTCTTACTTTGAACAACATAACTATAAGAGGACGATGAAGGTAAAATTGTCGGCTTATGAGGGACTTTTGAAGCATCAAGCAGCTTATCACAGTTAATAGCATGATCATCAGAAGGGTTTCCATTTCTACTTTTGTTTCTGGGCAAACTTTCATTATCACAGTTAAGATCATCTTTTCCTTGATCATCTTTTCCTTGTTCATCTTTTCCTTGTTTATCTATCCAGCACCAAATACCGTGCAAAATTTTCCAGCCACAATAACAGTACAAAATTTTCAAAAATATCGACATTTTGGTGTAATCTATTCTAAATAACAACCAAATTAATACTAAGGATTCAAAAAAAAAAAAAAAAGTTTTCACAGGGTATGTAGGATGTAGCTACAGCAATGATTTAGATTGAGTAGAGCAAACTAGCAATATGTGCTTGATGGGAAATCAGATGTAGGTAGTAATTGGAATAAAGAGATGTAAAAGGACTGAGGATTCACCAGGTCTTGTTGGATCCAATGAAAGATTGATCAGAGAACCAATCATATGGATTCACAGAAAATTATTATATTTTGGCCACATTAAAACAGAGATGGGAGAGACCATACTTGGATCAAAAACATTGATTTGCGATCACTGAAGAGTTCAAGATCAACACCGTCACTGTCTTCTCCATCTATCACTGCCAGCTCTAACTTTCTCAAGCATTCTCTGCATGTTCCTCTCTCTAAAAAGTAAAGTGTGATGTTAGTGTTGAGTGAAGTCTCTTAGCGTATGGCAAGCGCGACTTACCTTCAAGAAAAGTCTTGTATCTAGTCTTTGTGTGCCTTTTTTTTTTTTGTGTATATTTTATGCCTTTAAATCGTATAACTATGGTCCCCCTAGATTTTCTGTGTATATATGCATCCACTTACCAATACAAAAAAAAAAACATTGTATTGTATGTATTATCATACGTTACAAATATATATATACATACATACATATAATGTATATATATATATATATATATATATATATATATATATTGATTGTGCAATATTTAAGTTTTAAATAACAATTTTTTTTCTGAAATTATGTAATTTCAAATTAAAGTGAACACAAAAAATAAGAGAGAAAAAAGTAAGTGTGAATTAGTGGGGTTGTCTTGTATTAGCTATAATATTAGATAAATGTGTCTTGTGTTTCTTTTAATCAAAATTATTCCTATGACGGTAGAACATTTTTATTTTTGTTGGTTAGTAGCGCAAATTACATAATGCTTACATTATGCTTTTTATGTTATGATTGATGACGAATTTGGACAGACAAACTTAGTTTAAAATACAATTTAAAGTTTAAGTATTGATAGTTCAAAAACTAAACAAATATCATGTATAAAACCATCGAGTGGGATGGTTTAGTGAGGTACCAACCGAACTTCTCATCTTAAGGTGAGAGGTCGATTCTTAGAGTCAATATTGGGGTTCGGTGGTTGACCGCTATGTTAACCTAGATAGATTCGTTCTTAAGAGGAGTAACGGATGAGGTCAAAGGTCTCATGATCCCACTGGTGAAGGTCTATCAAGGTGTCTTTGGGCGCTCTCCTTTGTCTCATCCCTTTTTTGCCAAGCAAATAAATATAGAGTTATCTGCAACCATATATGTCTCTGGGCGCTCTCCTTTGCCCCATCTATATTTTGCATGATTTAGCAATTTCTCCTTCCATCCTGTTGTCTTATCTAGCATCCTCTCCTTTAGTCAAACTAGAGTTTTGCACGGGATATTTCCTGCAATCGTGTAAGGCAGCGATCTCTCAACTGGCAAACCTGAAACAACAGAGTCAAAAAAAGGGGGTCAGGCGTGTGCCCGGCTAATCCCCTCCGAATCTTAAGTCAGTATAAGATCGAAGGGTTTTGCTTAATGGACTTGTTATGGTTCGAGTTTGCGTCCCTTTGTCCATTTTTCTGAGGGATATTTATGCCTGAATTAGCAATGATTGCCAAAGATCTTCAGTTCCATCTGGACATCTTCACATCTGACACACCATTTCTCGTGCAGTGAATGTTCCCTATTCACGTCTTTTCCTATTGAATGCTAGGAAAATGGGGTAACAGCTCCGTCATCCGCCAAACACTTATGCCATTCCCCAAACAACCAAATCCATCAGGTCGGCATCTGACACCAACCAAGTATTGACTACTCGGCAGAACAGTTCCTCGGAGATCTGATGCGTCGTCTCGGTGCATCAGTCATTAATGTTTAGTCATCATGACAGTAGGCTTAAACTCCTAGAGGGCAGTTGTTTGCAGACACGCATTTATTTGCCCTGTCACTATCACTCATTTCGCCTTAAATGTGAGGTCACATCGCATTAAATACGATGCCAGCTGTCGTACTCGCCCGCTCCGTGTCACCATACCTCATCTTACCTCCTCGGCATTTTTTGGTCATCCCAACGGCTTCATGGTTCCACGTGTCAACCCAGGGGCCGAAGAGCCACACTGGAGTCCCACCAACTGCCCCCCCAGCCACAATCCTTTTCGCAACGCAAGACAAGTGGTGTAAAGAGATTGGGGCTCCATCATCACACCTTATTAATAGCGACGGTTACTTGCACGTCTGGTGCCGCCCTTTTCAAATGCCTTAATGATGATCAAACTTTTCGATTCCCGCTCCCTATGAGGCAGTGTAAATAGGAGGTTTTTATACCTTCTGAGAACTTTTGCATCCTCAATCTCTCTTCACCAGTCAGATCCCAAGCGTTCTTCTATTCTTCGAGTTTCCTTGGTCCTCCAAGCCTTCTTCGAAGACTACCTTTCTGTAAGTACTTCCACTTGAGCTTTTTATCTCTTCATTTCCTCTACATTTCGTCCTTTTAGCGTCTACCAATGGCCAGAATTAGTAGAACCAGGGGAGACGTCTATTAGGGTTAGCACTACCCGCAAGATGAGGAGAACTCAAGTGACTGATGAGAATATCTAAGCCTTTAGGGTTTGGTACCATATCCGTGAGCCTGTTTTTGCTTTCTCCTTTAACCCCACTCACCATAGGAGGGATATGGGAAATATGGACATGATGCCTTTCTAGACAAAGGCCATCATGGAAGGAGGGTTGACCTTCCTCCTCCATCCCCTGTTGCTGAGAGTATTGATGCAACTGAAGCTCTTTTTCCTTAAATGTGGGGTTAACTTCTTTAGGATTGTGATGGGCGTAATCACCTTAAACGCTTGGCTGGGGACTAACTTAGGTGTAGACGAAATTTTATTCTGCTACGACCTAAGGCTAGTCGCCGGGGGGCGATACTACCTCCAAGGCCGAGATTCCTCAATTTATTTGGTAACCCATATGCCCGACTCAGACAAGGGGTGTGTAGACGATCTGATCATGCTCGATGGCAGTTGGGAAAAAGGGATCGGGCCCGAGTATGACGGATTGTACTGCCCCAAAGTGCCGAGGGATGAAGGTGTGTTTTCTTTCCGACTTCTTAATTTATTTATTCTTGGGTCCGAGGGACGTACTAATTTTTGCTTTGCTTTTGCAGAAGGATATCGTCGGGAAGCTGCTCAACTGCTTAGGTCTCAAGTCTGATTTATCGATCTGCTAAGGGTTTGGTCCTCGAATCTGGTCGAACGAGCGACGCATACCCTTCTCGGCTACACGCCGACCTACAATCGATTCTCGCAGATCCCACCTCCTTTCAACCCTTCCGTTTGGGAAGATCACTCCTCGTCAGAAGGAGAAGAATCCGAGGGAGGTTCCGAAGACAAGTCTCAACATCACGCTCTCAAGCCACTTGCGCCCGAAATGTTTAATTCGTCACCTATCACCGCAGCTACAATGGAGGCCACCGCCTCGACAACGAGAGCTAGGCTCGTCGGGCTTGCTGGGCCTTCCAACGCCGTCCCCATCATCCCCCAGCCCAGTTCTCCTTGGAGGCAACCACCGCCGCTGCGTATGCAACCCCGGGATTCGGCTGTGCCGACCAGGCAAAGGTCCTAATCTCAACAAGTCCTCGCCCCGGGAGAGCGGATGAGGGACAGGCGTGCTCGAGACGCCGAACAATAGGAGGAGCGCCGCGTAAAGCAGCAGCATGACACCCTGGCCCCGGGTTCGTCTGTCTCGGGCAAGTGGGTTGCTAGGGCAGAGACCAAGAATAGTCGGCCTGTTCTAGAGGCCGACTCCATCCTCCAATACCCCAAAATGGTCTTTGACGTCGTGGGGACGCTTCAATTTGACGCTAATATGGCCGTGTACAAAAGTTACTCGGACAATCGGCTCCTAATGAGCATCATCCAAAACAACCTGGTGGTAAGTTTAATGTTTTCCTGAGTAGCCCCCTTCTCCCTTTTTGGTCATTCCCTAATATCCCTCTTTTTTAAGGCCATCCAGCAGGTGAGAGCCATCATTGAACATTTTTGGGGATACAAGCAAAAGGCAAAAAACTCTGAGCGAGGTGCAGCTGCTAAGGGCGACCACTTCCTGAAGGTCGAGAGGACCCTCGGCAACCAAACCAAGCATATCGCCGAGCTGGAAAAAGCCAAGGCGGGTGAAGCCGCAACGATAAAGAAGGCCGAGGAGTATGAGTTGCGAGTGTCCTCTTCTGAAGCTAAACTGCAAGAGTCCGAGTCTGAAATCAGCGCCCTCACTACCAAAGTGGACTTCTTGACAGCAGAAAAAGCGGGGGAGTAGGAAAGGTTGCAATTGGAGTGTCAGAGGGTGTGATCGGCCACTCAAGACCAAATGGTCCCCACTTTTGAGGAAGCCAAGAAGAAGGCTTTCAAAGAAGGTTGGGACGCCGCCCTTCACGCCAGCCACGTCGAGGTAGGCTCGGACTTGTTTGTCATGCACAGCTTCCAAAGAGAGGCCGATGACGAAGCCTTGGATGAACGGTTCGATCCAACCTTGGTGACCAAGTGGAGGCAGAAGGGACGGTCAAGGCTGAGGGCGAAAGTGAACCCATCGCACTCAGTAACGGATCTGACCAGCCTTCTCCTGCCCTTCTGTCTTTGCCACCTGCCTAGCCAACAGAAGATCTGTCCTCTCCGCCCCCCATCATTACTGGAACACATGATACCGAACTAGATGAGATATTGGGGGCTAGAGACGAGTTACAGAGGCGGCGTGGAGGCCTCGGCGGGGAAGGAGCCGGAGAAGAATGAGGCGAGGGCCTAAGCAGCTGGTGGCCTTACTTCTATATCTCGTATTTTTGTAGCTTCTTATAGCTCTACTGAATTTTGCTACTGTTTGTATGCCTGGGGACGCAAAGCCCCTTTTTCATAATGAACTTTAGTTTTCTAAATGTCTGTTTTCTTGCATCAATCGTATGTTCTAGTCTGGCCTCGTGTTAATGCCACCGTGAAGAATGAGACTTGATTTAGTAATAGTATTTCTTTAAATTTGACACATTTCATGGTCGGATTACATCATCACCATTCATATTTTGCAAACGATATACGTCTGTGCCCCCCACAGAGATCACCTTGTAAGGGCCCTCCCAATTGGGACCTAGTTTTCCATCAGTAGGCTCGCGCGTATTGCCCACCACTTTTCGTAGCACCAAATCTCTGACTTGGAATTCTCTCGATCAAACTCTCTTTTAGTGCTGCCGTGACAACTCCCCTTGGTACTTTGCCAGCTTGATGAATGCCAATGACCTCCTTTCCTCGGCTAGATCAAGATCCCTAGCGAGGGTTTGATGATTATTGCCCAACTCGAAAGCTCGGCTCCGTATTGTTGGGAGTCCTACCTCCAATGGGATGACCGCCTCGACCCCATATGTTAGAGCGTAAGGGGTTTTTCTTGTCGAAGTCCTCGGTGTGGTCCTA